CTGGCCCACCACCCATTTCGGTCATGTTTCTGCTGTGGTCTCATTTGAACTTGTCTTGGAAAATTCTATTTCCATTGTTGAGGAAGTGAGTTCCTGGAGAGCAGGCTGACCCCACTGTTGGCGTGTTAGGATGCAGGATGCAGACTTCCCCGTGGAACTTCTGAAGAGTTGAGATTCAACAGGCTTTCTTGCTACTGCAGGGTCCCAGGCTTGGCCACATGAACCATGTAGGTAGCAAATGGATGTCAGAACCAGCAAGGTTGGAGGGCGAAAGTGGGCATCAGGTACTGTCACCAGAGAATTGGTCTGTGTGATGAGGTTGGTATCAGAGCAGAACTGGTCCAGAGAACTGGCTTGTGGGGATGCAGACTCACAGGCCAGACTGGCTTATTAGGACCTTTGTGGAAGGTAGACTTGGTGGAGTGAAGTGTCACTCTTGCCCAGCATGTCTTGGTAGTACTGGCCCTAAGAAGTGGAGCATTGAGTGTTTGTTATTTGATTTTTTTGCCTCCCCTGGTTTCTGAAGAATGGCCAGAGAATTGTTTGGCACAAAGGAAACAAGTAGACATAGCTAGAACTCGTCGTGGGGATACACACCCCAGCTACTCAGGAGGCCGAGGCCAGAGGATTGCTTGAACCTAGGAGTTCTAGACTAGCCTGGACAACATAGCAAGATATGGACTTTTGAAAAAAGAACCACAAGTCGCCTGAGATGAAGGAAGGGCAGAGCAGAGGCTCCTGGTGCTGAGCTGTGACTGCCTATCAGCCCTGGCTCAGGCCCCAGGCAGTGTCTCCTTTCTCGCAGTGGAGACATGGCTGTGGGGAGGCTCCTGCTGCAGGGACTCAGGCTCAGGAATAAGGCTCCTGCTCCTGGGCATGGTGTGCGCTGCTGCCAGGAGTTGTGCCAGGTTTCCGCTGCTGGCTGGAGATTGGCTCTGCATGTCTGCCTCCCTTGGAGGAGGACACAGTAGTGAGTCAGCCTGGCATGGGTCGGGCCGCAAGTCCAGGCAGGTGCTGTCCGGGTGACTGGCATGAGGGGAGGGAGGCCCTTCCCGGTGACCCACCCTGAGAAACTGGGGCTGGGTCTTCTGCTTCCTGGGCAGGGGGAGGCCCCAGGGGGTGTTCTCCACACAGCCAACTGTGGTGGTTGGGGGGATGGGCAGCTTGTGCTGGGGAGAGAAGGCTTGCAGAGGACCTTGGGGACAGCAGGAGACTGGCCCTCCCTGCAAGGGAGGCTCCAGGACAGCCTGAGGGGAGAGAGACCAGTTGGTGACCTGGGAATGAGGCAGGACTTGTCAGGCTTAGTGTAGGGGGCTTTACAGACATATGAGGTCTTGTCTTGGAGAGGTCTGGATGGTCTTGCTGACAGGCAAGCTTATTTTGATGGCTGGTGTATAAGTCCACTGAAATACTAAACATATTTTTATTTGTCAGTTTTGTACTTAATAGCAGAACATTAGAGCTGTAGACATCAGATTTAGTTCAAGATGGTGAAATAGGGTTTGTGTTGGAGGGCAGTATGACTGCATCTGTTGCTGGTGGCATCTCCTGGTCCCTTCTGAACCAGCGCATCAGCACAAAGGTTTTGCTGTGAAGCTCAGGGGACATACTAGACAGGAAAAGACATCTTCAGGATTTGGGCGTGGAATCGCCTGTGGCCTCCTCCCTACCCCCGCTCTGAAGTTCTGAATGGGTTGAAGTTGACTTTCCTAAGCCATTGGGGGCTTCACAATTCATTTTAATTCCTCTCAACAATTTTACAGGATGCTTGCAAATACATTTTTTTCTAATATATTTTTTCTTATTACAATAGTATTTTATGTTAGTGAATTTGTTAATAAAGAGAAGAAAAAATAGTCCTGTAATCTTACCACCCAGACAATGTAGTGTTAACATTTTGGTGTGTAACATTTTAGTTCTTTTTTATTTTTATTTTTTTTGAGTTGGAGTCTCACTGTGTCTCCTAGACTGGAGTGCAGTGGCTGCTCCCGGCCACCACAGCCTCGACCTGCTGGGCTCCGGCGATCCTTCCGACTCAGTCTTCCAGGTAGCTGGAACTACAGGTGCGCGCTACCACGCCCAGCTAATTTTTTGATTTATTGTAGAGATGAGGTCTCGCCAAGTTGCCCAGGCAGGTCTTGAACCCGCGGGCTCAGGCAATCCACTCACCTCGGCCTCCCAAAGTGCTGGGATTACAGGCTGAGCCACCGAGCCTGGCAACATTTTAGTTCTTTGAGGTATGTTTAATTTGGTGTCCCCTCCCCCCAGGTTTAATCTTGAGGTGTTGGGGGGAAGGATGAAGCACCACAGAGGAGCCAGTGAGAGCCTACCTTTATCTGTGAATTTCTGTTAACAGTCTCTGGGTGTTTTCAGGGGATACTTAGATGTTTCTCTCCATAGCATAGCTGAGTCTCGGAGCAGCTGCTGGCAGATGCCTGGTTATTGAGGTAATTTTCCCATTACTCCAAAGAGCTCTGGTTGCACTCAGCTTTTTGCCTTAATTCTTGTACAGCTCTCCGGGGCAAACCTTATTCAGCTCTGAGCGGTCTTTGCAAGTGGGGCCAAGGAGCCACCCTGAGCCAAAAAGAGAGCATTATGTCACCGGAAGCCCAGACCCAGAGAACCAAAGGTATGACCTGGTCATCAGTGGCCCCAGCCAGGGCTTTGCAAGGAGACCCTAATGCCCCCGGTCTAAAGAGCCTGCTGGTAGTAGGTTTTTGGTGGTGGTGGTGGGTTTTTTTTTTTTTGAGTTGGAGTCTCTCACTATTGCCCAGGCTCTGGAGTGCAGTGGCATGTTTACAGCTACTGCAGCCTTGACCTGCTGGGCTCAGGTGATCCATCCACCTCAGCCTTCCAAGTAGCTGGAACTATAGGCACCATGCCTGGTTAACTTTTTGATTTATTGTAGAAACAAGGTCTCACCAAGTTGCCCAGTTGGGTCGTGAACCCCAGGGCTCAGTCAGTCCTCTCACTTCAGCCTCCCAAAGTGCTGGGATTACAGGCTCGAGCCACTGTGCCTGGCTTTTTATTTATTTATTTATGTATTTATGTAGACATGAGGTCTCACTATGTTGCCCAGGATGGTCTTGAACTCCTGGGCTCAAGTGATCCTCCCACATCAGCCTCCCAAAGTGCTGGAATTACAGGCATGAGCCACTGCACCCAGCTTCTTTATTTTTTTTTTTATAGAGATGAGATCTTGCTATGTTGCCCAGGCTGCTCTTAAACTCCTGGGCTCAAGCTGTCCTCCCACCTTGACCTCCCAAGGTGCTGGGATTATAGACATGAGCCTCTGTACCCGGCCTTGATGGTTTTGAGAAGGGTGGAATTAGTACATAATATAATCCTCATACATTTCTTCCTCCTCGAGGCCATAGCAAGGCATTTGTGTTGGCCTGATTGATGTGGGGTCTCCCAGAAATGTTCCCTTAACAGCCAGAGGGCCCAGCTGGAAGGTCTGAAGGTATGCGCACCCTACCTCAACCATGAGTGCAGGTGAAGGGGCCCTGGCTTCCCTGACCATCTGTCAGTTTAGAGGTTCCTTAGATCTCCGGAAAGGAGAGCAGAGGTATAACTTTGATTCTGACAAAGAGCCATTGAGTTCGATTGAGAGGTCATTAACAAGCACTGGAGTGCCTCCAAGTCTCAGGCACTAGGAGATACAAAACCATATCTAGGTCCTGGAAGAGAGGACTGACTTTTTCATTTTGGTACCTAGTGGTATTAGAGAGTTGGGAAATGTGCATTTGCCGTGCGAGGTAGTTGGCCAGTATCTTATTTTCCTGTGTTGGAAATTTCAGATTCTGTACTTGAGACTTGCAGCTATTAGTTTTTCTTTTCTTTTTTGAGTTGGAGTCTCACTCTGTCACCCAGACTGGAGTGCAGTGGCCACTCCCGGCCACTGGAACCTCGACCCGCTGGGCTCTAGCGATCCTTCTGTCTCACCCTTCCAAGTAGCTGGAACTACAGGTGCATGCTACCATGCCCGGCTATTTTTTCTTTTTTGTTTTTTTATTTATTGTAGAGATGAGGTCTTGCCAAGTTGCCCAGGCAGGTCTCGAACCCGCGGGCTCAGGCAGTCCACTCACCTCAGCCTCCCAAAGGTGCGGGATTACAGGTTGAGCCACCGAGCCTGGCTGACATCAGTTTTTCAAAGCGGACAGGCTGTTCACCACTGCTCCCAAGGCTCCAGGCCTTCTTGGAAGGTGACAGAGATGGTTTAGATCCATGTTCCACTTGAGCCACCAGAGAGGCCACAAAGTCAGGGATGATGGAGAAGGTAAAGGAGTCAAGGTCATATGTGTGGGATGCCTTGATTTGGGGGCCTGAGATTTAAGAGCAGGTGGGGTGGGGCTGAAGGGGGACTCGTTCCTGAGCCATGACTGAGGTGTCTAGGCTCCAGGGTATGTATGTATGTATGTATTTATATTTTTGAGTTGGTGTCTCACTCTATCACCCAGGCTGGAGAGCAGTGGCATACTCTTGGCTTCCGCAGCCTCTGTCTGCTGGGCTCAGGTGATCCATCCTCCTCAACATTCCAAGTAACTGGAACTACAGGCATGTGCCACCATGCCTGGCTTTTTAAAATTTATTTATTATAGAGACATGGGCTCAGGCAGTCTTCTTACTTCGGCCTCCCAAAGTGCTGGGATTATAGGCATGAACCACTGTGCCTGGCCAGGCTCCAGGGTTTTAGGAGTCTCTTGGTCTGAGAACTTGAGAAAGGGTTGAGAAGGCGTTGAGCTTCTGGTTCACACCTTACCTGAGGGTTCCTCACACACTGCCTGCCTGCCTGGAAACCTCTCCTGAGTCTTTGCCTCTAGTCAGCTAATAGGCCGAGTTTAGTTGTAAGTCAGTAGGAAGAAAACAAAGGTCAGGGCAGTTGTCGGGGTTGTGACCCGGGCTGGTTAATTACCTGGAACAGATGGTTGGGGTCATGGAGTAGTGGTGTACCTGTCAGGCTAAGAAAGGAAGTCAGGCTGGTGTATGAAAAACCAGTTGGGGGAAAAGATTAGACCAGCAACTTTAATGTCCTCATGGTGCATCAGTCCTGTGAATGTCGTTGGAATAATTTTAGACCCACATGCGTGCCCTTGCATTATCCTTCCTTGGGTGCATATTGCTCTGTGTGTCCTTAAAGTCCTCCTGACCAGACGTGGATGTGGTTTTGGGTGCAGATTCCCGAGAGGGAAGACCCTGCATTCAGGGGAGTCACCTTGGGTCTGGGTGAGGATTGTAAGGATGCAGTGTGGGGGCAGCAATGTGTGGCTTTGACACAGCCGGGCATACAAAAACCTGGACTTGCACAGTACTTAGCTGTGAGTCAGTGGTCTGCATTGCTGGAAGACTGGTTACGACTTGCTTTTGTGGCAGCTCCTCTGGTACCTATTAGTGGTGTTACTTACAGGGTTGGTGGGAAAGCTGTCAAGGCAGATGTTAGCCCAACGGGAGAGGCTGCTTCAGTGGGGGCTGGGGAAGCACACGCATTGGGTGGTGGGTCTTACCATATGCGTCGAGAGCCTTTCCATTCTTCATGGTCACGTGAGCCCTCTGCCCGGTGTGAGTAGATCCCACATCGCTGGAGCGTGTCTGGCTTCCCTGTGGCCTGGGCACAAAGCGTGCTTATTGAGTTAATGTGTAAGCAGGAACCAGGCTTCTGTGCCAAGTGCTGTATAAAGCGCTTCTCAGTCTGATTGCTCTGTCTTCGACCTCCCTGCACCCAGGACCTCAGAAACCATGGCAAAGCCCCATAGCGAAGCCGGCACTGCCTTCATTCAGACCCAGCAGCTGCACGCGGCCATGGCTGACACGTTCCTGGAACATATGTGCCGCCTGGACATCGACTCACCACCCATCACGGCCCGGAACACTGGCATCATCTGCACCATCGGTGAGTGGGTGTGCCCCTCCCTCACACAGGGGCTCCATGTGGGCGGGACCATTTCTCTCCTGAAGAGACCAAATAAATGTTCTGGCAAACCTAGGTGCTGTGTAGGATGCTGCACGGATTCTTAGAGAACCTAGGTCTTAGGAAGTTGCAGCAAAGCCTTGGTGCGCTTTGAGTTTTCTGCTGTAGGCAAAATTTAGAGGATATCGTCTTCTCTTCTTTTTTTTAATTTTTTTGAGTTGGAGTCTCACTCTGTCACCCAGGCTGGAGTGCAGTAGCACGCTCGTAACAACTGCAGCCTCGACTTGCTGGACTCAGGCGACTCTTCTGCCTTAGCCTTCCAAGTAGCTGGAACTACAGGCATATGCCACCACACCCAGATAATTTTTTTTTTTTTTAATTGTAGAAATGAGGTTTTGCCAAGTTGCCCAGGCTGGTTTTAAACCCATGGGCTCAGGCAGTGCTTTCACCTCAGCCTCCCAAGTCCTGGGATTATATGTGTGAGCCACTGTACCCAGCCTGAGGATGTCTTCTTTAGCAGGACCTGGAAAGATCTTTCTAACATGCTCTGTGCAACCAAGATGCTTCATTAAGGACAAAGAGGGCTGGCCAAGTCTAGGCTTTCTGATAGGGTGAGAGAGAGCCTTTCAGAACATGAATGAAATGAGAGGGGTGTCCCTCCTTAAGTCAACAAAATAGGCTTCTGTGTACTTTTGAAAGACTTAAACTATTTGGAGGAGGGAAAAGTTTAGGGGAAAAATAAATTATCAAGAATTCTTGGCCGGGCTCGGTGGCTCAGCCCGCGGGTTCGAGACCCGCCTGGGCAACTTGGCAAGACCTCATGTCTACAATAAATCAAAAAAATTAACCGGGCATGGTAGCACGTGCCTGTAGTTCCAGCTGCTTGGAAGGCTGAGTCGGAAGGATCGCCGGAGCCTAGCAGGTTGAGGCTGCAGTGGCCGGG